TATTTGGTGGAATTGGTGTCCCCATGTTACAACCATACCCGGTCTCCCCTAACCTTCTATTTAAGTTTCAGTCAGTCAGTGCGTTCGTTATGTAACCACAAGCTTCCCCGAGGGGTCGTTACAGAATGAAATCACCCTGTCAATCACTGTGACTGTGCGGACAATTACATCTCTTGAATTAAACGGTGTAAACTTATAGCCCTGTTTGCGACTGAGCTAATGAGCTTGAGAAATGACAATTAGCGAGGTAATTAGCTTGGATAATAATCATTGAAGACAGGTAGTACACGGCCAAAGAGCTCAGCTACGTTGACTGGCAGTTACAGCTCTGATAGACGCTACGTCTTCCAGCTTCTAGCACCTCACTTTTTCAGGGTTGCCATTAGGGTTGGGGACCAAAACCTGGTACTAATATAGATCCAGTTCCTATATGAACAAAACTTTCGGTACCATTTAAATGCGTCCGGAACGTACGTAAGAAGCATCATTACCATTCGACGCCGTACCAAATGTAGCGTCCCTCAATGAAAGGCTACGAGACGACAGCCAGTTTTGCTCTGTCTTAGGGCTGGACAATAAAACAATAACAATAATTATCGCAATATAATTTTTTTTCAATAACAATATAACAAATGTTCAATAAATGAATCACACAAATTAGGACTGAATTTTTATTAATATGTTTATTTTGTAGAGGAAAAAGGACAGTTCTTAATTTTACTCGTGCATCTTTGTTGGAAAAGATTTTATCATAATTGTTTTGAATGTTCTCCCTCAGATTTGTGAAGTGATCCACTGTTTGGAATCAAATGTTTGTCATGTTCAGACCATAAAGAAGAGTTTAAACCACAATTAACCTTTCTTCAACTTTCACTGAGGACCAAAAATCAGCCTTTAAACTCAAAAGAAATACCAATTTAATACTTATCGTGATAATTATCGATATCGAAAGATATGAAATTTTTTATCGTGATAACATTTTTGGCCGTATCGTCCAGCCCTACTCTCTCTTTATTAGTGCTGCAACAATACGGGCTCCTGTGAGCCGCAGCCTACGCTAGCTTAGCTCCGATAGATGATTGACAGGCTTCTACACACATTCACTGACCTCCTGTAAAACTCCGTTAATACAATAAACAGCCCTTTCTGCCTTTTAGCCAAATACTCAAATAATCATAACGGTGAAGTTTAAATAAAAATAACAACTCAAAATTGATTTTGCTTTCAGTACTGGAGCTGTTGGTGTTAAATTACTGAAGTTGGGTTATGTAGTTAAGGTTTTATATATTGTGAATTTGTTTTGCATTTATTTATATTTATGGACACTTTGAACAGTTTTTTTTTTGTGTCTGTGTGTGTTTTTAATTATCATTTCAGGCACCGGCAGCGTTTTAAAAGTATTGATTTGGCACTGGAATCGGACAAAACCCAAACGATACCAAACCCTAGTTGCTATCTTTTTTTCCCCAAGTGAGAAAATTAATTCTCTGCTCAGTCTCTCAGCTGATTGACGCCTTGCTCATCGGGCACGAGGACCTCAACAGGCGTCTGTTTAACCTGAGGAGGAAACAAACTGGCATCCTCTCAGTTGCCTCTCACGCTTATTGTCTGTGTCTTCCGGTCGGCTGCTGTTTAATGCTGACAGCAGTAAGAAACGATTAAAACCAAGAAACGCATTAATTATCACATGAATAGAAAATATTGGCTCAGGCCTATATCGCCTCGTTAAAAAGCAAAAGTGCTCTAATTCCTTAAGGGTCCCACATTTTCTGAATAGATGTTACTAACATTCAGTTTGGTTAACTGCATAAATGGAGGTAATTATGTACGGCCACACGGGAATTGGAGACAAAAAGTTTTCAGTTTTTTAAATGTGTGTTATTTAGAAATGTAGAACCTCGGAGGCTTTGTGGAAGTTAAAGGATTGCGAAAGATACTAATTTGTTGGCGTGGTGTCCGTTTCGAGGTGAGGACTCGCTCTAAATAACGACCTTTGACGACAGAAGAGATAAGTGGATGGAAAGTGATGACTGAAACAAACTGAAGCAACCCTTAGTCACATCAGTCAGCTGCTTAACTTCAGTAAACAACATAATCACATCTGTGGCGGTCACTGCCAGAACCACTTATAAATGTATTTATCATTTCAAGACACATACGCACACAAACAGCAGCTACAAAATGCATTACCCTTTTTCTGCTTTGCGAAAAATGTGATTTAACCCCCTGATATGCAGCTGCCTGACTGACTAGGTGATGGGATGTGTGTTCAATCCTGAAGCTAAACATCATTTAAAAGCACAAAATCTCATGATTATATCTTTGTAAACATGTTAGGATCCCAGCATCACTCTGTGTCAGCAGTTTGTTTTACATTTATGGCACAAAACTGCAAAATTTTAAAAACATTAATAAACATTTTTCATTTATTTATGCCTCTATAAATCTTAAGTATTACTTACTGTAGTGGGAGCAGTGACTCCCAACCACAGGTACTTTTAATAATAAATACATTTATAAAAATTAACAATAATGATGTAATGATATTGTATCAACAGAATATATTTTATTAGCTCTTTATAGGCAGACATGTAGTAGTAGAGATGTAGTGGAGCAGAAGTAGAAAGTTCAAGTACCTCATATTTGTGGAAATTAACTTTTTGGCTGCCAAAGTGGCTGGTAGATGAAAAAAATCCACCGGCCAAACATATTTTTTACCAGCCAAAATAATAAATTGCCTTTTTATGTCACGTAATAATTTGCTTCAGTACTTTTAATTGAGATAATAAGGGATTCTGTCGAAAGCAAACTTAAAAAGACACCAGATTTAAATTTGAAGCAAAATTAATTTACTGCTATATTGTTTTATTTGCGGGTGCCGCTGACTTCCCTTCACTGTTAGAGCTGTCCTACTGGAAGGGAACGTAGCAAACAGCGGGGATAAATAAATGGGAGATTTACGGGGACATATTTTAACGGGGTGAGACCGGGAGAGAATGTTACGGTGGTAGCTATCTAGCTAAATGCTAAAAAAAACTCCAGGTACTCCTAGCACGACTTGACTACGCCAATCAGATACAAGAAACCTGAAATTAACATAAAGAACAACCAATGAACGCCCCTAATCCGTGTGTTACACGATTTTAGATCCCTGGGTACAGCGGGGGCCAAAATTAGCTACCGTCAAAAAGATATTATATGGTGATATCGTGACGAATACGTTTACCCGCCAATGTAGCGGGTAGCATTCCAACATTTAGCTGCCAACCAGAAAATCTACCTGCATCTGGCGCTTGGCGGGTGTTCATTTCCACCCCCTGTTTGTACAGCACTTGAGTAAATGTACTTTAGTTATATTCCACCACTGCAGCTGACAGGGCTGTGCACGTATGTCAGACTAAAAATACTAGGAACCACTGACTAATTGTAATATTTTGATTAGCGATGCGGACACATCTGCAGGCAGCCTCGTCGGCGAGCTGCTGGTGAACGATGTCGGCGCTCCCTGTTTTGAGAAGGTGGTGAGAAAGTTAGTTTGGAGCCCTAAATGTCCTCAGTCACCGTCATCTTGGCTAGTTTTAAATAAACACTACCGGTCAAAGTTTCAGAACAGCCCCATTTTTCTAGTTTATATTGGAATATAAGTAGTTTAAGTGAAAAACCTTAAAAGGTACAGAAGTAAGCAGCAAACTGCCAAAAACAGACATTTTCAGATAAACAATTAACAATTAAACGAAGGAGTTTTGTTCATTATTTCACGTCGGATCCACCGATGACCAGCTGCTCTGTCTTCTTCATTAATATTATAAAATATACGTATAATATTGTACAAATAAAGCTTCTGAGGGTGTATTAATAGGCTGTTTCAAGGTGTTTGCTGTAGAAATGTGTTTCAAGGCTTCATTAACTTCCACTGCTGCAGATTAATAATAAAGTTGTTAACTCATTACTTGATCCCTGGAAATTGTATAGTTCTGAAATCTACATTTTTTTTCTCAGTTGGTTCTGCAGGCGGTTATTCTGCAGCAGTGGAAGTAAGCCTGGTAATACACGCTCAGAAGCCCCGTCGGTCGCCCCTGCTCTCTAAATATAAACATTGAAAAACACGGATCAGTCTACCACTAATCTTGATAGTACAAAAAAATCATCATTATCAGAAAAGAACAGGACTGTTATTGTACAACCACAGCAACTATTTTATTTTATAAAATTCCATTATTAAAATAACAAATGTCGCTTTCTGGTTTAAAAGGGAAGTTTACCAAAAATCCTAATCATTTCAGCTTGAAAACATTATTTTCATCTGTCTCTCACCACATCTGCAGAGAAACTGTTGTTTTTTTGGCATCTGGCTCACCGAGGATTAACTCGACCAGTGAGATGATTCTTTTCCTCCAAAGCAGCTTTGGCTCTTAAACATGTCTCTATGATTTTAAAGCTATTCTGTAATCTGTTTTACTCTGGAACGGTCACGAAAAGCTTTAATTCAAGTTCAAGAAAACACCAGAATTACTCAAACAATTTGGAAAACTAATAAATTTGTTGACGCTTTAAAAGAAATTCCAGGTGTTCACATTAAAATGCAGGACAGAAACAGATTTTATCATAGTAAATTTTTGATTTATCGACTGTTTCATGGCGACGTAACGGGAGGAAGCTTCAGTTATTTATGACCTCAGCTGGTTTAGACAGAAGATGAAGTGGGATTTATGATAAGACCATTTAATGCACCACATGTGCATTTACATGTTTTTCCCCTCCATGCAACAGTTCTGTTTTATGCAGTTTCTGTACTTTTCTAATTCAGAATGGGGCATTCTTTAGTCTTTAAACCTCTTCCCTGTGTAACAGATGAGGCAACACTTGGTCATTAATATCAAATTATGTCAGATGTTTAACAGCTTCTTTCCTCTGAGGCTCACTCAGGCCCCCCCCTCGGCCTGAGAGACCTGACAGGGATGGACAGCGAAGTGATTTTTACTCTCCGTCTCTGTCTCCAGCTGCTGCCGTTCCTGCAGGCGAACCTCACGGGCTTCAAGAAACTGGAAATTCTCAACTTCAGGAAGGGCAGCGTTGTCGTCAACAGCAAGATGAAGTTCGCCAAGTCTGTGCCGTACAACATCACCGAGGCCGTCCACTGCGTCCTGGAGGAGTTCTGCTCCTCCGCCTCCAAGAACCTGCACATCCACATCGACACCCGCTCTCTGGATGTTGAACCAGGTACAGTTCAGGTTTGCACGGCGCGAAACGCTGGCAGGTTCATTTGTAGAAATGCTGTAGGGATGTTTCTTTTAGAGCCCATTTTCACAGGGACAATATGTCGGGATCAAACCCGTCAGCCCTCCCGGTTTTCCTGGGACTCTCCCGTGTTCTACGATTCATTTGCGCTGTCCTGCTGTTTTAAATATTGTCCTGTAAATGTTCTGTAATTTTTAACATATCTAAAAAAATATTCCTTATCATAAGTGACCCTTTGCTAAGCCACGCCCCCCTTAGTTACTGTTGCTAAGTCAGACAAACTGTCGGACTTTTATCACAGCGCCGCCGCTGTCTAATACTGACTCCCTGGAGAAATACTATCAGATCTGTTGCAGACAGTTTTGCAGTTGCATTATACATTTGACATTATTTACATTATTCAGACTGTCAGACTGACTCAAACTGATGTGAAAAAAAGACAGAAGCTAAAGCCTTTTTCTGGATTTATTTTAGGTTTTGGAGAGAGAATAAATCGTACTTCTCCTTTCAACCTCTCTGGGTAGCTGCTGTAACTATTACAAGTGCCGCATGAACAGCGTTTGACCAGATCTTAGAAAAATACAGCATTAGAGTCAATGGAGCGCAGCCATGAAGGTGTCGGACCTCAGTTTGAGCGAGACCTATATACTGCAGAACATTAGCTGCAGCCGCATGCTTGAATCGTCAATCACTCAGACGGCACCCGCCAATAAAACGATTAGAAGAAGAAGAGCGGTCGAATAAGAACAGCAGCCACGAGGGGGTTCGAGATATGGATGACTGTGAGCCGGGAAAGGCATTCCCTTATATTCCCAGTATATCACTTATTTTTAAGTGGACACTGATCGCTTCCTCCGGGAATTTGCAGTCTCGGTATCATAAGAGTCATCGCAAATTCACAAAATTCTAATAGCAGCGGTAAAACTTTTTACAATGAAGAGTGAACTAAAAATGTTTGAATCATGCAAATTCAGCCTGTCTGAAAGGATTTAGAGCATGTTTTGTTATGAAGCCTGAGCCAGTGTATTCTATTCATGTGATAATTACTGTGTTTGAGGGTTCTAATTAATTTTTAATTGCTGTCAGCAATAACAACTAGTTAACTAATCTGATTTTGGAAACTACACTAAAGGATTAAATTCTATTATCACAGAATTTCCAAATTCTCGGGTGTGTTGTCCAGCTGAAGTCTTCAGTTCACGGTGTGTAAAGAAACATCAACAACAAAGACGAATACCCAATTTTGAATAATAAACTTGTCCTGAAAGGGGGTCGATTTTACCTTATTTTATGGCTGTGAGAGGTGAAATGAATAACACTGATTATCTCGTCACCACGGCGCCTGCCAGTGGGTGGGTTTCATCAGGCAGCAGGGGAACATTGTGTCCTCAAAGCTGGTGTTAGAAGCAGAAAAAATGGCCGAGCTTGAGGATTTGAGCGACTTTGACAAGAGCCAAACTGTGATGGATGGACGACTGGGTCAGAGCATCTGCAAACCGGTCTGCAGAAGTGGTCCAAAAAAGCTGGAACCGGCGACTAGTGCTGAACGATTTATGGAAAATAATCTAATTGCAATTTAATATGCCATTAATTTTTAAGCTCTTTACCTTCTGTATTATTCAAAACGGACAAGCAGTGAATCAGTGTATGTTATGACCAACACAATATTAGATTAAACAAACGCTGTTCAGGCCTGTGTTATTATGAAATTAGGTGATGCATAAATTGCATGAATTATTTATTATGGAGAAGTAGTATCAAATTTTAATAATATGAGAAAGATAATTTGAGTCAAGTCATGGCACCACAAGAAAAACAGAGTTCACCACAGTGTGTTATACAGTAAGCACTCAACACAAAACCCACAGTTCAACTACCAATTAATGCGTTTTTATCTCAGTTCTAATCTCCCAGGAGTCCATCCTTCTGTATACCAGTAAGTAAGCAAATTATACTCAGTTTGAGGTTCAATTCAAAAGTTGGCCAACAAAAATAAAACCAAGTGACGCCTCTCGTGTTTAATAGACAAGCTTAGTGATTCTCCGACAGCACCAGAAGATTTCACCCACCACCAAGTTACCCGCGGGTGGCGGCTGCTACTTTCATTCCCTTTGTGACTCTAAATTTCCATTGTAGGGTCAGCTTCTGTCAAGCTCCAGGCCGTTGTACAACAACAAGTACAGCGCAACTTGCGAAGTTGATGCTTCCTCTGCAGACTGGTTTACTCTCGCGCGTCGCAGCCTTTGCGATTAGAAAATCTCATTTTATCATATTGCGATAATATCGCAAATGCAAGTCCTTTTGTGGTAGGCTAGTTCTGTTTTACAGCACACACTTTCTTCAGAGCTGTTGTTTTCTTTTAGATTTAAATAATCCAATCCTTTGGACACTTTCGGTCTTTTTCTCTGGCCTGTCTCTTTGTCCCTCGCTAATTTTTCTCCTCCATTTTGCAATCCACGCAATCAAATCACGTCGCCTTAACTTGTCAGTAATCGACAGTAATCGTATTCATCCGTGCGAAACAGTGTGCTGTGTCGTTAGGTGGATTAAACAAACTTTTTAGTAATCGATTTTTATGATTTTGGTAGCTCTGTGAAAGTTGCACAAAACACTACATTTGTTCTTTTATAATGGAATAAATGGAATTTTTATCAAATAATTTGATTACTTTTGTTGAAGAATTAAAGTCCCTTTCTTTTCTGGAAGGTAACTCCTTGGATCTTTTTTGTGCTATCGACTGGTGTGGGGTTTTTTAAACCGCCGATGTCGATATTTACAGCCACATTAATCACAAAAACACTTTATCTCAATGTTTAAAAATAATTTTCTACAGATTAAATGTCTGTAATTGGTAACGTGAGTCTCGTCACACTTTTCAGTGGAGATATCTGTTCAGGTTTATTTCTCTGCGAATAGACCGTCCACATCTTAGCTGCCAGTTTTATGATCCATGTATTGTTATAACTTCACTCTATGGAAAAAAAACATTCATTTTACTGCTGCAGCAAGGTGATGTCTTACAATTTATTTTTATGTATGTGATAAAACACAAACCAGCATCTCATAATAATTCCCATCATGTATCAGCGGTGCCTCTGTCTCGTACTTTATAAGCTTTTATAGCGAAACCACAGATGAGATGCAGGCAGAGATCACAAACACATTGAAGTAGACTCAGTAATTAGGTCTCTGTGTCAGACCCTCCAACACACAGTGGGGTTGTACAGAACGCTGTAGGGCTGGACAGATTGTGATCAGTGAGGCGGCAGATCGTGTTTTAGCAAAATCTTGAATGTAGATCAAGTTTTGCTGAAACAATGATGTCGCACACAGCCGTACATCAGAGCAGGAAATACTTCACTAAGAGTAAAATGTACTTAGATGTGCACAGTGTCTCATTTAGAGTGTTATGTTATTATTAAAGGCCAGTCTATTCATCAGTGCGCTGATCTTATCTGTGCGTTTGTTTGATGAGAAGCAACAAGAAATTGCGGTACAGAAACGCTAAAGATATCACACTCTGTCCACTGAAGAATCAGAAAAAGGCTAAATTTGTTTGTTATAAGTCAGAATAGTTTAAGCTGCATTTCATTTAACAGTGTGAACATTTGAACTTGTGCTAAAGGGAGATCAAGAAAAGAGTAAAAGCTGCACATTGACTCCAAATCACTACTTTATTTAAATATTAAACTCGAAGGATGGATTGAAACTTTGTCCTTTTTAAATAAAGTTGCATTTTGGAGTCAGTATGCAGGCGTGGCTCTTTATTGCATGTGATCATGTGATGTGTGTTTAATTACTCTCCTTTTATAGCAGAAGTTGTACAAGTTCATCAAAATTGTACTTAAGTAAGGTACTCAGTTATTTTTAGAGCCCGACTGATACTGGTAGATATTTTAGAGTATAAAAAATCTCATGGTATTTTTTTTAGGGGTGTGACGAGACTCTTAGTTCACAAGATCAAGATGAGATTTCAACACTATTTTTAAGAAATCTTCAAGTTTGATCATTAAACAGTTAATTTCCTGCATTCTGGGGAATTTTTCTGCACCAATTTATGGTGGAAATGTTTTTATTTATGTAAAAAGAAACAAGAAATTCAGATGGCAGGTGACAATTAAAACTATAAACCTCTAACATAATCTAAGTCAGTGCAGCTCTCAGTCATTCACTGCTGCTTTCAGATCTGTTTCTCCTGTAGATCAACTTTTTTCATGTAATATCATCCCTGACTGCTGACTCATAATTTAGTCCTCCCTCCTGTTTGTGTCAAATTCATTTTAATCAGAAATACTTTATTGATCCCCCGAGTGTCACAGTTGCAAACATTGCACAAAAGGCAAAAGGAATAATATAAATAGAGATAGAAATTCAGTATATAAAGAAGTATATAACAGAGTAAAAATATAAAATAAAAGACATATAAAGGAGTGTGGATATGTACGGTATTACATTTAATTGTTATGGTGAGCAGTAATAATGAATAAATAGTAGCAGCAGAATTGCAGCAGATTGCACATTAAGTATTTAAACAGGTGTTATTGCACAAAACAGATAATAAGGTCCAGTTCAATAACCTCTAAGTGGTTCTGTGTCAGACACTTAGAGGCAGGAGTTATAAAGTTTGATGGCCACAGACAGGAATGACTTCCGGTGGCGCTCTGTGGTGCATTTTGGCGGAATAAGTCTTGCACTGAAAGTGCTCCTGTGTTTGAGCAGCGCGTCATGGAGCGGCTGGGAGACGTTGTCCAAGATGACGTGTAGCTTGGACAGCATCCTCCTCTCTTACACCACCGACAGAGAGTCCAGCTCCACCCCCAACAACCTCACATTGCGGATCAGTTTGTTGAGTCTGTTGGCGTCCGCTACCCTTAACCTGCTGTCCCAGCGTGCAACAGCAAACAGGACAGCACTGGCCACCACAGACTCATAAAACATCCTCAGCATCGTCCTGCAGATGTTGAAGGAGCTCAGCCTCCTCAGAAAATAGAGACGGCTGTGGCCCTTCCTGTAGAGGGCTTAAGTGTTCTTGGCCCAGTCCAGTTTATTGTCCATCTGCACTCCCATGTATTTGTCCTCAACAGCACCTACCTCAACAATGTCCACACTGACCCCCTGGATGGTAACAGGGGTCACTGGTGCCTTTAATTCAGCTATAAACTGGACTTTAATAGCTCCTGTGTTTCAGCAGGTTTTCTGGTCTTGTCTAAAACTTTCTGCACTTTCAGAATCGCTCCCACATATCTGTGTTCTCTGACATGTCCAGAAAAAAGTCTGCTGTGCGTTATTTCTCCGCTGGTAGTTTCCCCTTCAGACCGTCTGGAAAACAAAACTAAGTAAAAACACTTGCGATCAGGCAGAAATCCAAACACATTTTAACTTCAGCAGCTCCGATAAAGAGCAGCTCACAGTCCCAAAGGTTGCACCTCGGTTTTCAGGTGACGTACGTGAGAAAATTGAGTGGCGTGAGAGCGTGTGGAGATCTCATCACACCCCTAATGAACTCATAACGTAGATATTTCTGATAAGGGGACCTCAAACATGGTTATTAAAGAATTGTGACCAAGATATATTTGTAAAATGTTATTGTCTGTGCTCTGTGGTGGACAGCCTACTTCAGGCGTCGAGTTAATTAGTATAAGGTAGGTAGTTAAAGTTATTTCTTTACCTTGGAAGATCTACTATCAGGTAACTCAAACATATCTTTGATATTCCTGTACTGCAGTTTTCTTGACACTTACCTGTCGACACATGCTGATCAGTCAGACACTAGTTTCTCCCTCTGTGCATCCCTGTCGACCTCAGCAGGAACCCAGACTCAAACACACACATACATGTTGATGTATGTGTGATTTACAGTTACACAGGCATCACATGGCTTACATTTCACATTTTCCTGGAGTCTGTCTGACGGTTTTGTCGCGGGAGCCGGAGGCAAAATTTTACATTTCAATGCAGACCAGAAGCTGAGGATCTCATTAAAACCTAACACTCCTCAGCACCTCCTGGAGAGAGGAGGGAGACGCACACTCCATGAATACTAATGCTGTGTTTTCTTCCTCTTCCCCTCACAGCTGACCAGGCCGATGCCTGCAAGTTCCTGGCCTGCGATGAGTTTTCCCGCTGCGTGGTGAACGGCAAGACGAAGGAGGCGCAGTGTCTGTGTGATCCGGGCTACCTGTCGGTGGACGGCCTGCCCTGTCAGAGTCTTTGTGTCCTCCAGCCCGACTACTGCCAAGGAGGAGAGTGCCACATAGTTCCTGGACACGGAGCCCTGTGCAGGTAAACAAGTACAAACAGGCTTTTGTTTTTTATGCTCCTCATGCCTGGAATAAACTCCCACAATACCTTACAGTCTTTAAAGTCAGGTCATAAAACACAGCTGATCAGAGGCTTTTTAAATCTTATTCATCACTCGTTATTTACCCAAGATTTAAGCTCAGTTTCACACATTTTAAACTGATTTATTGTTTTTTTTATATCAGTTGTCTTTTAAGTATTTTAATTTAACAATTTTTCTGAAGTATTTTTGTATTTGCTTCTTTGGGTTTGTAAAGCGCTTTCAATGGCTGCAGTGTTTGGAAGGTGTAATATAAATAAACTTGCCTTACCTTGCCTTGTTAGGAAGTTTCAGGCAGCAGCCACAGAAAAAGCGCCTGGAAAAACCTGCAACCAGGTCTAATTAGAGGAAAATATATACTTTTTGAGCGGCCGTGAAGGCAACAATTGGACATGAGTATTGACCTCAAAAGGCAAGAAAAGGTTTGCCTCATTCATGATCTTTTTAACACTGACTTACTTTCACGCAAAATGTAAATGGAAAATCCATGTCTGATCCTAGTATTTTGTCAACCTATCCATGGCACACATGTGAAGCTAGGAGGCTGTTACATCCACAGAAGTTTCCGTCGAAAGTTTGTTTACCATCAGCCTGGCCCGCCTGCTTCAGACATTCCATCCATCTGGAGCTGCGTCGCTCTCGGTGCTAGCAACACGGTAAACATCAGGAGATCTCTGCACGCTCAGCTGAGCAGCACGGGAAGCACCGCGAGATCTCTGCACACTAAGCAGGCCAGAAAACGTGGAGTGGATTTCAGTGTACTACGGCCCCTACAGAGATTCACCACAGCATCAACACTCAAAATAGAACTTCTCAATACACAATCCCTCACAAATAAAGCGTCCTTCATACAAGACCACATCATGGACAAAGGATTAGACTTCATGTGCCTGACAGAAACATGGCACCAGCCAGGGTCAGCGCTTAATGAAGTCTGTCCCCCTGGTTACAGCTACCTGGAGAGAGCCCGCAGCACTGGTCATGGTGGCGGCATAGCTGTCATACACCGACAGAACTTGAGCTATCCCCCCTGCCTACACTGTGCTCATTTGAATGCCTAGCATTTAAAGCATTGTCATGGGGAAGGGGGGGGTTTCATCTCAGAGATACACAACCTTCTCACAACCCGCTGCACCACCTCTGCCAACATTATTATACCTGGAGATATTAATATTCATGTAGACAACCCGTCCTGCCACTTTGCAGCTGAGTTTCTGCAACTACTGGACTGCCTCAACCTCCAACAACATGTTGATGTCCTCACACACTCCAGGGGGCACACACTGGACCTGGTCATTTCAAACTCCGCCCCCATTAGCAACCTTCTGGCATATGATCTGGGTGTGTCTGACCACAAGACCATGTCAATGTAGCTGCCACTCCTTTGCTCACACACCAAAGGCAAGCGTCCAATCTGCTACAGGGACCTGAAAAAGATCAACCTTGACCGTAGACCTCCAACATCTCTCCTGCTGATTTCTCCTCAGTCACTGATGGTTTACTTCTACAATAAATCTCTGAGCAGTCTCCTAGATCTCCATGCACCTGTCAAAACTAGAACTGTCAGCGTCTTACGCTCAGCCCCCTGGTACACCTACAAACTCAGGAAAATAAAAACAGCTGGGCGTGTCCTTGAGCGGCGCCTCAAGGCCTCAGGACTCACTGTTCATAGGCAGGCCTACCGAGAACATCAGAAGTCCTATGCAAGGTCCTTGAGAGATGCACGTTCACTGTTCTATTCCAAAGTTATCAACAACAGCCCTGGCAACTCCAAACAACTTTTCTCTACCATAAATGACATCCTCAAACAGCAAACTTGCTCTTTCAGAAGCCACAGAAGAGAGGTGCAACAATTTCATCACTTTTTTCAGAAAAAAAGTAGACACCATCCGCTCCCTGCTATCCAGTTTCTCCATACTGCCTGTCCCGGCTGCTGACCCACAGCCTGGGATTTTCCAACCTCTCTGCTGTTTTTTTGTCATCTCACAGCGAGAGGTTGAGGACATCATCAAAAAGATGAAACCGTCCACCTGTGCCCTGGACCCCTTCCCCACAGCCCTGGTAATTCCAATCTCCATGCAATAAGTCCCCTCATCACGAAGGTCATTAACCACTCCCTCCAGGCTGGCCATGTTCCTTCAACACTGAAAACCACTGTCAACAGGCCACTTCTCAAAAAACCCACCCTAGACCCAGAAGTCTTTGCCAACTACATGCCCATCTCAAACCTTCCTTTCCAAGGTGCTGGAAAAAGTAGTTTCAGTCTGTTTTCCATCCTGGCCACAGCACAAAAACAGCCCTGGTCAGGGTCACAAATGACCTGCTGATGACTGCAGACGCTGGCTCCCCATCCTCCTGGACTTGACTGCAGCATTCAACGCTGTGGACCACAACATCCTCCTCCACCGTCTAAATTCCACTATCGGTGTTTCTGACTCTGTCCATGAGTGCTTCTCATCCTACCTCACCGGGAGAACTGAGCATGTTGCCTTGGGAGAGGCTAAATCCTTGACACACAACGTCACCTGTGGTGTCCCTCAAGGCTCAGTGCTCGGCCCCACCCTGTTTATCCTCTACATGCTCCCCCTTGACCACGTCATTAGCCGGCATGGAATTTCATTCCACTGCTATGCTGATGACACTCAACTCTACCTCAGGACAAATCCAACCCCCTCTACTGCCCTGCCATCATCCACTCTGATCACCTGCCTGGAGGCAATAAAGGCGTGGATGAAGCAAAACTTTCTGCAGCTAAACAGCTCCAAGACTGAAGCCATCTTATTCGGCACCCCACACCAGGTTCGGTCGTCTGACATTACCAGCATCAACTTCTCTGGCCAAAACATTCCACTTTCAACATCAGCCACCAACCTGGGTGTTAAAATGGACTCTCATCTGGACTCACATCAAACATCTCTGCAAGACCTCCTTCTTCCACCTCAGGAACATCGCCAAAGTCTGTCCCACACTCACTCCTGCAGATGAGGAAAAGCTTTAAACCCACCTTTTAAGGAGAGCTTTTGATTGAACTCTTGCCATTTTCCTTTGCCTTATTGTTTTTATTTGTCATGCTCTCTATGTATTTTTATTTTTAGCACTTACCTGTTTTATCATGTAGCACATTGGGATTTGCTTAAATATAAAGGGCATTACAAATTAAATTCATTATTATTATCAACAACAACAAACGCACCATTATACATGTGCAGTTACAACTGCTGACTTACTTTTGCCGTTTTCCCTGTTATCCGTCCAAAAATAGCTCAGTTGTTGACAAAAATAACTCTGGACACCATCTTGGACATTGCACAGTTCCTCTAAGCTCTCACTGAGTTTCAGTTCACCAAAAAATGCAGGAGAGGAAAAGTGTTGCTTTGGAACAGACTGTCTGGCCGACTCGTTGTAGTTACATCCAGTATACCAAACATTTGGTCTGCTCAAGACGAAGAGATAGAGCCCACTTACTCGAGTTGTGGGCCTGTAAAGCATGGGGGTGCTTTTCGTCACAGGAATGTTGATCAATATTCACTGTTTTTTATCAATATTTTAGAAGCTTTATGTTATTTGGAACGTTTTGGTTTTATGGACAGAAATAGTGTTTTGAAGAAAACTCCCAAAAGAAGTGAACATATAAACAGTAAATATGGCCAAAACATTGACATACACCTGGTAAATTTGTGAAAAATTGTGTAATAAATGTTGTATATTAGTTTATTTTCATCACATTTACAGCTACAGTTGTATTCTAGGTTTATTATAAGATATTCAGTTGCATTATAATGAATTGGGTGATGGTTTTGATGGTGATATTGCTATTAAAATATAATTTTTTTACCAGGCGAGGATGAAAATATATTTTCCTTTATTGCATCTCCATTTACTCTTTAATAGAAAAATAAATAGGTTCATATTCCTTAGCTTCTGACCTATCAAAGGAGACCAGAATTATGCATCTAGGCCTAATGGTTGAGGAGCTATTCCTGATTCATTTTGGGTATGTTATTTTAGGAAATAGGTGTCTGCTTCAGCTGCATTAATAATTTATTTTTATATTGACAAATACCAGCATGGATTAACTGCACAGAAACGTACTGTTTTGGTTCAGTCTCACGGCTCAAGTCAGTCTCGTTTCCTGCAGCAGCAGGCAGCTGAACCACAGTACGCTACAGCCGCAGGCAGACGCAGTTAGAGACCCGCTGGTGAACATAGTGGAGCATTTAGCAGCTGAAGAGCTAGATATTTCCCTCAGGAGCGGGTGGAAAGTAGAGCTAAAAGAGAGTGAATATTGATCAGGTGGACACAAACACGCTGTTAATGAATGCTAATGTTGCTGCTGCATGTATCCGCTGCATGTGTTAATTTGCCAAAAAACAACTTTATAAGGTGACGTGTCGATACTGTGTTTCCAGCTACAGCATGGATCAAATAATGCTGCTTTAATTATCTTGTCACTGAAACCAGCTGCTGCAAAATTAATTATCTATTCATCAAAACACAACAGTGGATACCTGTGTTTGTCATCCACGATTACGTGCTACAGTATTTGTGTTATCAGTTAACAGCCGTAACCCGACATGGGGGCTGCTGAGTTAGCTTTTCATGCTAAAGGCCCTTCCTGCATTAAATGTGAGTAGTTAAAGGTCCAGTGTGTAATATTTAGGAGGATCTATTGACAGAAATGCAATACAATATCCATAACTATGTTTTCAGTGGTGTATAAAGACCTTAAATAATAAACCGTTATGTTTTTATTACTTTAGAATGAGACATTTATATCTACATAGACCGCGGGTCCTCTTATATGGAGGTCATCATGTTGCACTCCCATGTTTCTACAGTAGCCCAAACGTTGCCCTACAGAATGCGTTTTGTACGTTTAATACACATGAAGAAGAAGAAGTAACGTTAGCAGTGGAAGTAGTCGTCTTGTTTGTTAAAAGTA